GTATATCATTCACAAGTACTTCACAATTAGGTTTTAGTTTTAACATTTTATTTGAAAGTTAATAGATTTTCTGAAAACAAAAATACATTCACTGTTAGAATTTATTTTGTTGGAGAAAAATGTTCTATCCTGCTCCTTCTATTTTTTTTTGTCAATGCAGTTGAAGATGACCATTAACTTCACACTATTAGCTGTTAGAAATTTAGCTAATAGTTCTGTTCTGAAATCAATTCTTTTTTAAAACAAAATTATATTCATGTGTGCCCAGCATTAGTTATAATTTGATGATAGACAATAAATGTGGGCAATTAAATTATTTTTATAGTTTAATCACTTATTGACTGAATTTATAAAATAAAATAATTACCTGATATCTGCCTTACTAGCAATATGAATAAATTATGCTTGGAGCTAGAGTAACTACTTTGTAATCTATTAGGAGGTAAGCATAGGCTCCTATGATGAGGTCTTAGGAAAGTCTATATTCACTTTTCAATCCAGAAAGCAGGCAGGAGGTGGCATGGGGGAAAACAGCCTGCAGAATTACAGGCACATAATATCATCACCCCTGTTGCTACATATCTGTATAGCACAGCAGGGATATGAATGCTAATATCACAAGTGCATGAGCCTACCTTAACAAATCTTTTGTAAAGTAAAACAATCTTTTGTCAATATATAATGATTTTATTGGCTGAAGTTGCTATTTAGTTTCAAATCAATACAATTTTTGACAGGTAACTGTAGTTGTCAATTTTACTTTCTTTTTCTTCAAATGGTTCCAACTGGGAATGACAAGCAGATCTAAAACCCTCTGAAATAACTCTATGACACAGATATCAAAGCCCGCTGTGAAACCATAGATGGAAAACAGATGATTTATAATAATGCTTTTGGATAAAACATGATTCTCTCCAGCACAGCAAGGTATAAAGATGTACAGTTATCTCACACAGCTGTCACACAAAACGTATTAAAATATTTAAATGCATTTACATCTGCATGTTTTCATAATACAGTCTCCACGGCCTACTTGAGTAGCTCATCAGATTAGTACAACTGTTTATCTGTAATGCTTTGTAACACACTGATAGCCAAGTCATGATTTTTTTGGAACCGCTAAAATACTCAATAAATAAGTATATAAAAGTAAATAAGTATATCAAAATACAAATTATTTAAACTTTTCAAAAAAAATCTATATCTTTAAAAATTCAATTGTATATAGAATTTTTCAACACATTTTAAATTGTTTCTTTTTTTCTTGATATAATGTTAATAGGCTCTTATAGATTATTAAAAAAATACATTAACATATTAAATGTTATTCAGATAAAAGCTAAATTGCAGCAGAAAACATCCATAAAATATTTTGCTACATAGCAGCACTACAACCAGCAGAAAGAAACTCAATAACAACAATAAATACATTTCTTTGAAGTAAAAATAAATGCAATTTTCTTTTTGATATGTTGTAAGGTCCTGTAAAACCATCTAAAAGGCAAACATTGAATGGCAATAATGAGCTATTCTTTCTCCAACCAAAGGCAAGTCCATTCAATAGTGATATTATAGTTTTGGATGAACACCAGTAGGCTGAGTCATCCAAAAGTTTTTTCCATCTCTCAAGGTTCTGTTAAACACAGCTTTACCAACCAGCAGAATCCTTCACAAAGAGATCTCATGCTCTGTGTGTTTATCCTGTTGGATCTAAATCTTCTTTGCTTGGGTTTTATCAGTTGCTTCAGGCAGGTGTTTGCTTTTGCAGTTGGAAGCCTTAAAGGGTTTTCCACTTTCATAAAAATAATGCAAAGTCTCAATACTTACCACCTAGATACTGACTGACAGACCTGCCCAACTCAGATTATCCAATAGATTAGCTGTTTAACATCAGCCAAATAATATCAAAGGCTAAAAATGTACAGGGCTATTCTACCTTCCTCAGCCACCCCACTAAACTCTTTGTGGTTGATTTACCAAAGACAAATAGGCTGTTCTCTTTGCAAGGGAATTTTCTCAGCTTAGTGAATGTGGTAAACACTCACTTTGCAAAGAGTACCCAATCACATGCAGGAAAAACAAAACTTTTTTTTGCTTGTATTTTACTAAACTAAGGGAAAATTCCCTTGCAGAGTAAACAGCCTTTTTGTATTTTGTAAATCAACCCCAATGTTTATCAAAAGGTTTCAGAGGGCAGACTGCTACTGTTCCAGCCACACAGCTCTCAGTGGAAACCAAAGGCTGTGACTTACAGGCTAAAAACACTGCCAAGCCTGGTAAACCTAAGCTGGTTATACAGTGGTAGACATTAATTGGGCATTTTGCATTGTAAGAATATTCATTCAGTTTTCTAATCCTTGCTGGGGTCAAACTGAAATTACTTTTGACAATGAGAAAATTTGAAGGAGCAGGGTCGAAAATTTTTCCTGAATGAAGTAATTGCTAACAGTGTATGTGGTTTTATTTGGTAAATCCATTCCTTACAAAATCAAATGTTAAAAGCACATAGTGGCTAAATGATTAGCACTTCTGCCTGGTAGTACTAGGGTTGTTAGTTCAAATCCCAGCCACGGCACCACCTGCCTAGAGTGTGCATGTTCTCCCTGTGCCTGTGTGGGTTTCCTCCAGGTACTCCAGTTTGCTCTCACACTCCAAAGACATGCTGGTAGATTAATTAAATCCTGTCTAATTTGGCCCTAGTATGTGTATGTAAGTTAGGGACCTTAGATTGTATACCCCTTGAGGGTTAGGGACTGATGTGAACAAACAATATATATGTAAAGTGCTGTGTAAATTGACCATGCTATTTAAGTACCTGAAATAAATAAATAAACAACATTTGTCAAGCCATTGAATGTACTGAGAATGTTTGTTCAAACGTTCATTTGAAAATTATTTAGTGTTTTGCTAGCTTTAGACCTGCAAAGTAGTGCTGGTGAAACAACTGGTCAGCAGCGTTTCCAAGCAAACTATCCTTCTTGTTCAGTGGTGGAGAGAAAGAAAGTGTAGAGTTCTTGTAAGGGATAAAGAAACCATGGATGACTCAACTCACTTCTCCCAAAACAGAAATATCAGTTTTGCAAGGGCTTAGCCCTGGCTAGGAATAGAAGGACAGCCTGAAAAAATTCTTCACATTTTGTAATCTCTACTGCAACCACAGGAGATAAAGAATATGACCAAAGTAAGCATGTGGGGGCCCATGGTATACATGTTCTCCCCAAAGAATTTCACTGTCTATCAATAAGAGATACAGCTCACTAAAATTGTAAGCATTATTGAGAAAAGACCTCCACTAATAGCCATTTTATTCATGACAATCATGACCATAAAGAAATATCTCTGTTAACATACTGAAAACATCCACCCCATTGCTCCATATTTGGATGCATGCCTTTAGAGTAAACCAGCCAGGCGGAAAAAGGTGGTTGTCATAACTTGTTCTAAAAATGCTAGTTGCCTGTCTGTTATGAAAACTGAATGCTTTCAACACCTTTGGTCAATGGCCTGCAATGAGCATGCAGATCAAGAAAATCAAATAAAAATCAGGATCCATATCTGTATACTTGTTCAGGGTCACTGATTTTTATTAAAATAAGAGTAGCATGACACCCAAGCAAATGGCATTTTCAAAAGGAGATGTTAGCAACGTCGGTCTCCATGTTTCTCTCATCCAAATTTTTCTTAAACAGTAATCTCCATTCACCCTTTAAACTGCCCCCGATGTTGATTGAGAGTTTAATTCTGTGCTTTAGACACTTTAATTTAAAGTACACTGAAACTTTGAACTTAGGAACTTCAAACTGCACTACTTGCTGCATTTTTAAGGTGCAGTTTTTAGCAAGGGCAAACTGCACACAAAATGCTAGACATAAACTCTTCCCGAGAAATAAAATCCAGACAAATTAAAAATGCACAAAATGTACTGAAATACATGTAAAAGACTAAAAATCTATCATAACAATAGAGATTCACAATATTTGATAATAAACTAGATCCAGTCTGCCTGCACTTGCCTTTAGACAGGTGCCATAAAAATCTATTAGGCAGTTTTTGACCTTTATAAAGGAAGTCAAATTCCCATACCTCCAATGCCTTACTGGCTTATGTTCATAGGTCCACACGGATACCTGCATGTGTCTGCTATTATACATTAACATTCCAGGGGACATGCATTCTCTCATTTGCATATTAAATAACACAAGATGACAGTAAATTGCAAACAATATCTTATTCATAAATTTCTACTTGCATTGCAAATGCATTGTTTTGCATTACAAACATGCATTTTCACTTACCTGAACCTCTGAGTGCAGTCCTGCTTTAGGTTACAGTAAAATAACTATTGCAACCATACAACCTATATTAAATTTATATTAATATATTAATCTTATAATAATTTCACAGTATAAATCACAACTATGATCCTGCAAACAACAATGCTCAATTTATCAGACCCAATGCATGGAAGGATTACAGCTACACTAGTTCCAGTTAGGGAATATTGTATACAACCAACAAAAAGCACACAGAAACAACTGCAACTTAACTGCTAACACCAACAATACTGCAGATGACATAAAGGAATAACTTAATTTCAGCATTCACTGCAGTTCAACTCTACTGCAGCTTATCAAGTCTAAAAAAAGAACATTTTGCTCAGGATATTGCACTAATCATACCAGAATTCTCTCTAAACCAAAAATGTCAATAGGATGTGTACACACCATGGCTTACTTTTATAGTAGCCAGGAATGCTTGGAATTGCTTAGAAGAAAAAACATTTCCTGATATTGTTATTGATTCTAAGGCACTAAAAGCATCAATCATTTTCCATATTTAGTTTCTGCTATATTAACTTGGAAAAAGTACACGTCAAATACTGAAACTGACTGGCCATTCTTAATATACAGTTGGTATTAAGCTAAAACATGCATTCATGATATGTTCACATGTATGTACTATGTTTATGCTGGTTGTTCAATACATGCAGAAAACTCCATTTAAGCAAATGGGGATTTCAGTAGGCTTGTCCACCCACCATTCATTCCATTGTACACACTTCTGTGATGAGATGACATTTCATCTGCTACTTGTCTCCTTAAGGTGCCTTCCCTGCTGCTCGCACTCAAAAGTTTGAGATGTTCTGGGCTACCTCCAAAATGTTGTCTGAGATGCTCAGGGCTACTAACCCTTGCTTTTTGAAGATGTTCTGAGTTTCCACTTAATGTATGTTTTTGAAGATGTTCTGGGCTGCCACTGCTGAGCTTTTGGTATTCTGGACTACCACCAGACCTATGCTTTTTAAAATGTTCAGGGCTACTACTTAATATCTGCTTTTGTAGATTTTCTGGGCTACTACAAGAATGCCTTTGTGGCTCTGGACTACTTTTACCCACACTTTTATGATGTTCTGGACTTGCACTTTTCAGATGTTTCTGATGGTCAGGACTTGATGAACTCCTAGGCTTTTGAAGATGTTCCGGGCTGCCACTTCCATGTTTCTGGTGTTCAGGACTTCCTTCACCTCTGCTTTTTTGGAGGTGTTCAGGACTGTTGGTAGAGTTTACTTTATGATGGTCTGGGCTATCTGTGCTACCTGCACTGGATGTGCTGCTTCCATCACCAACATCTCGTAGAAATGTACTGGTCGTTGCAGTCAACTGACAGAGGCTATTCTGACTGTCAATGGAACTCCGACTACCTGCTACCCCAATCTTCTCTTCATCTAGCAAAAAACAAAGTTCTTTTAATTCAAGGTTTTCCTTTACCACTTCTTCTTGTCTTACTTCAAGCTCCTTCAGTTTCTGTAAATACAAAGCAACTTCTTTCTGCATGATCCCTGAAGTATATCTTCCCAACCTTTGCCACTCTCTGGAAATCCGTTTTCCTTTTTGTCTGTCGTCATCCAAGAAACAACATAGGTCTCTAAGTTCTTGGTTGTCTTCCTGCAGCTTCTTATTTACATCCTTAAAGAACAGAATATTTTCAGTTAGTAAATGATCAAAGTAGAATTAAAATCATACATTTTTAATGCTGATAAACTGTTCAACTGAAAATCTGCCAACCGCCTTGTGTAGCTGAAATAATCATAATGTGCCAACTCTGATGTGATTTATTTTAAGCCAGTTGCAGTACATTACATCTGATACAATATATCATAACTTCAAAATGATGGAGAACAAATCATAAAGCTGAAATTAAACCTATTTAAAATCTGTCATCTACTTTTTCAAAACATTTTTCACTAGCTTTTAGTGAAATAGTAAAGTCGCAATAATAAACGTGGGTAGACACCTTTTTATTGAAAGATAAATTTCAGCAAAACCGCTAAATATACAGTTAGAATACAAATAGGGGAGCATTTTATTTTCCAAAGGATTTGTATAGTGTTTCTGTTCATCTGGTCCTAAAATATGCACAGATCTGCCACACAGCAGAGCCAGTTGAGTGACCTGAATTTTAACTTTAAGCAGTTCACCTGCTTATATATGTTTATATATGTATTAAATACCAATTAACTATATTCATTTGCGTTTTTAGTCCAGTTTAAAAAAAGTAGTTGCCCATAGTAACAGCTGTTTATCATAGGCCCAAAACCCAAATACTCCCATTTGTGAAACTCCTTACTTGGTAAGGGAGATCACTGCCACTCGCTTGCAGCATGAATAATATCAGATCATGCACTGGGTGCCAAATTACCTGCTACCTATCATCCAGTGTTTCATGCCATTATCCCTTTTCTATTACAAGGTCACAGATACAAGTTTAACTACAAAACAGGTTCTGTTATGCCATCTACCTAATCTAACTGACAGCAACAACAAAAATATATAGTGCACAATAGGAAATCTTCAGAACCTCTTCTTTTTTTCTTCTCGGTTACTCAGATGCTGATCCTGCAAAGGAATACAAAAAGCATGACATCCTATCTATCTAGCTTGCTAAATCAAAAGTTCATGCAGTAGGGTTTATCAAGTATGACACTTTTTATTGACTATACTTTCAAGCAAAATTTAGGTTAATATTAATCTGCCAAGACGTTTTTTGCATTTGTTAATGGATCTTCATATGAAGTCTTGAAGAACAATTTTAGATCACAAGTGAAAGCACTGAATGAGTTACAGATTGGTGGCTATGATAAATGTCTAGGTACTAGATTTTTTTAAAAATTAAGTCTATGTGTGTGAGAGACAGCGAAGAGGGTGTTCCAGAATAACCAGCAGGTGCACTACAGGATCACAAATTTACAGACAAAAAGACTTAGGGTGGACTGATGCCATACAACAACGGATGAAAAACTGAACAACTTGGTAGGTAGGTTATTTTCCCTGTATGTATACAAGGATGAATTTTAATCTTGTATGTACAGTATATTTGTTTTTCAAATATGTATTCAGTGCTCATACTGGCTAATTTAATACATCAAAATGCAATCTGCAATAACCCGAAGCAACTAGTCCAGATTCAGAGATGGGCTGGAGAAAGGCTTGCCGATACTACACAAATGGGCTTAGCACTGTCACAACACTTCTAATAATGTGCACTTGTTGGACCCCCCCATATGTCTAAAGAAATAAAACATTCAGAAAATGCCCTGCTAGTGTTCCCATCACTAACTACCTACTACCACTAACAGTAGCTTCTGCTCTACAGTATGGTTTTTTCCCAATCTTTTCTTCTACTCTGGAGTTTCATGCATTGAATCCACTGTTGCCCATGAAACTCCACAATGGCTGCCACTCTACACCAATCAGAAATAGGCACTGAGGAGCCACATGCACTGATAATAAAGCTATACATTAACCTCTCATGCAGAAAGAAAAGTTAAAAGAGAGCAGCTCTTGTCACATCAAAAGATAATCTTGATTTTAACATAAATTATCTAGGTCAGCGATAAAAGAAGTTTAAGAAAGCAAAGACATGACTCTTCCTTAATGATCTGCTGGTCATTGACAGGAGGGGATGTTGTCAGCGAGCTACTGCAGAAATCCAGTAAGTGCCAGCAATAAAAAATATTCTGGACCCACCACTGTCAGGGCTCTCTTTTCTCTAATTTAACTTCAGAAAAGGAATCTTTAGATGATTTTTTTTCAGAAATTAACACTTCCAGGAATGTCAAGCTTCTGTGTCCCCTGCTGCATTGGGTGGTCCTTCCCACTGACTTCTATATTCCTACTGTGTCCTGAAGAAATGTAGAATCTGGCAAGAGGATCAACTGAACACAGAAGGAAAACTGGAGATCAACACTCCCAGAAGAATCTATGTGGAGTTTGCTCATGGTAAGTGCATTAAAGAAGTGCCGTGGACACAAATACAGTTTCAACATCAGTAGTTTGAAAACAGCAGGATATTGGAGACAGTACACTGTCTCATGTAGTACTTTTGTTTATTTTTATGAACGATTTTTTAAGATGCCTGGTGTAGCTTAATGCAATACTTACAACATTGCTTGTCTGGATTCCATGGTTTGTGCCCTTCAGGAGGTTATCTGAGCCAATTTGTTCTGATGAACTTGTGAAAAGCCAGTACTAACGTAGAGACTATGCCGAAAAAGGGCAGTATGGACATCTGTTGCGTCTGAAAGAGTTAGTGTGTATAAACCTTATAATGTTCTTTCTGAACTAAATGGTAATACAGAAGTTGTTAGCATAGATATTTTTGAGAATGGCATCCCTATTGAGTATATGATGGACATCACTGAAAAAAGAAAATGTGTCTTTTCTTTAGACAAAAGGTGTGGAAATGTCAAAAGAATTTAGAGGGTTACCTGGTGCTACAGTCATAGGCATTTTTTAAATATTGCCAAGAAAGCTATTTAAGAGTGCAATGTTGATGTTGTTATACACATTGACATCAGTAATTTGTCCCAGAAAGCTGTACTTTCCATACAGAAGAATTTGCATACATACTTTTATATTTGAAGTTAAAAGAAAGGTTGATTAAAAAAAATGTAAAGCTGAAGGTTTCAGTTAAGTCAGTCATTATGTTAGGAGATGGACTGATATTGAGCTGTACAAAAGAGATTTTCTGCATACCTCAAACAGGGTTACCAAACTATTTAGCTGGGAGTTCAGGAGTTCTTTGGAGATTTAAACTGAGAAATGGGGGCAGACAGTTACTTGCTAAGTATTATTTATGTCCTCAGCAGGTAAAATCAAATGTGAGGATTTGTGTTTTTAAGTCTTAGTTCACATTGGCAGTGGATGGATAACTAAAACAGAGAATACATTGATCAGAGATTCAAATGACCAAGAAACAGTTATAACATACTATAAACGTACTATACAGGAAAAAAACAGTAGGCACCACCGGGTGGTACTGTGGAATAGCCTATCTTGATTTCAACAATGCATTTAATAGGATTCCACATCATAATATTATTAAATCATTGTAAAAGTTATGACTAAACCCTCAAGGAGCTTAGTGGATACACAGCTGCCTAAAGAATAGATATCAGGGTGCGATTGTAAATGGTTTAATTTGGAACTGAGACCAGTCGATAGTGGTGGAGCACAAGGCTCTATACTAGATCCTGTTCTATCCAATCCATGTGTAAAGGATAAACCAAAGGTATAGTGGCAAGGAATGTATTTTTGCTGATGATACAAAGGTATGCAATACAGTTGATATTCCTAAAGGTATTTGTAACATGGAACATAATTCAGCATTCCTGGAAGGTGGAAACTGTGAAAAACTATAGTTCCACATTTCTAAATAAAAAATAATGTTCTTAGGAAAAAGAATCTCCTTACAGGGTACATTATGGGGGGAGGGGCAGTGCTGGCCAGAGCTACAACTAACATGCTTATTTCAGATATTTGCAAAATGAACAAAAAGTGTAGCCTGGCAGCAGGGAAAGTAAATTCTGGGGTGTATCAATACAGGGATCACCAGCAGGAGGAAGGAAATCCAGATTTGTTTAGGTACATCAATTTACAATATTTATTTAAACCCACTCTGTGCTGAGAAAAAAAACAATAAAGAACTCTTCCCTCTTTTTTCTTAATAAAAAATAAAAAAGATCGCTGCTGCTGTTTATTTTAGAAAAAAAGTGCAAAAAAAATATCCAGCGTAATTCCTCTTCCACCAAAATGCACCAGTGCTGCTGGTACATGCGCAGCGGTCCAAGATTGTGGACGTGTGAATTTTGAGCTCCGCTGACCCTCAGCCTTCACGGACCTCCCGCTCCGCTCCTACAGCATCCACAGATCCACAGAGCCCTCTCCCAAGTCAGAGTATACACAGGCATCTCCATGGGAAAAATCGGGCATTGGAAAGCCGCCCACGCTTCCTCCTCCAGATCCCCGCCCTTCCATGCTGGATCGATTCTTCACTAGGCCGGCATCCTCGGCCCCGAGTAGTGGCAGCAGTCCAAGTGAGTGCTCCGCTGAAATGAAGGGGACAGACACAGACACCCCTGCTGCTCAGCATCTCACCCCAGTGGCCCCCTCTTTGATGATGGATATCCTAGAGGACAAACTGCAAGTAATCCTACATAATATTACCCATACTAGCTCTGCTGAAATTGGGAAACTTGCTCGGGAGCTTAGGGGGGAGATTACCCAACTAGGAAACCGCACAGACCACCTTGAGTCAAAATTTGCCGAATCGGTTCAATGTGTTCATGTCCTAGAAAAGGATAATGCGAACCTGAAACACTTCGTGTCTCAGTTACAGCTCCAGCAGGAATACCTGGAAAACAGGAAGCGCCGCCAGAATATAAGTGTTCGTGGCATCTCCAAAATGGTCTTTGACTCCCAACTTCAGTGTTACTTGCTGTCTTTATTTACCACTCTGGTCTCCAAGGTCCAACATGTTGATTGGTGAATGGACCGGGCCCATAGGTCGTTAGGCCCAAAACCTTCCGAGGGCACCAGGCCTAGAGATGTTATCATTCATTTTCACTACTAAGAAGCCTTGATCTCTTCTCTTCTTTGGAATTAAAAGGAGACAGACTTCAAATTTTCAATTA